TCAACGCTCAGTATCAATACATCTATCATGACTGACTGACTACATTTTCTCTTGGAGAGCATCAGAGGGGTGTGCTGCCCCACAGGATTCCCCCCCAACCAAAACACTTGGCATAATTATATTTTTTACACAGAAACCCGGTCTAATCACTCATAAAATGCTATGTTCCCTTCGTTAATGTTTTCAAAGTTATTATTTTGTTCCTGGTGTGATGTTAAATAGTAATTAAGGCTGCTTAATCATTCAGTAGGCCTGCTCTCCCAGCGGACGAGAACACTCGTTGCTACAGTGGAGTTGGTTGGGTTTGTTTAAAGAGGAATTATGTATTTTGTATTTTTCACAGATTAAAGTTTTCAGACATACTTCAACAGCAGAGCCTTTTCATCTTACTGTACGAAGGAGATACAGTACTGCAGCAATGTCAATAATAAGCATCCGGTTAAAGACAGAGGAAATATATATAGTGGATCATTATTCCTTTATGGTCAAACAGTGTTCAACTATGCAAAGACTGTAGTCTGAAATCAAAGGTTTCAAGACTAGGCAACTATTCAAAGTCAGCATTATAACCATTATTATAAGCCCCAAAGTAGAGCATTAAGGAGTTCTCTGCAACAGGAGTTTATTTGCTGGGTCCAGATGTCTGCTCACACAGCTGACAGCTGTATTAGTGAGGAGAGATTAGACATGTTTGCTTTCACACACACACACACACACACACACACACACACACACACACACACACACACACACACACACACACACACACACACACACACACACACACACACACGAGCACACACAAACAGAGCCCACAGAGCCCCTCTGAGAGTCCCAGTCCTCTAAAATTATGCCACCGGAATCGAGTAGGGAACGTGCACTGTCCTTTCATAAAAACATGTCAGCTCCAAGATTAATAGCTGTAACCCAAATTGCTGTAACGTAAATGGGTCTCTCTGCTGTGCAGCCATAATGGCAAGTCCCCACTCCATTTTAGCTGGTCAATTTGGTGTTCTACTTCTAAACCGGAATTGAACTTGCAATGAAATCTATTCATCACCAGAACCCTCCTGAGTGATAGTCAAGATATAGAAAAAGCACTACGCAGTCAATACCTTTTTCCCCAGGTAAAACTTGAGAAAAAAAGATCACCTAGCAACACCTGCTTTCTAAAATAACCAACACAACAATGCCTGTACCTGTTCATATGTTTGATAAGGTATGATCAAGTGTTTGTTGAACACTGCTATTGATCTCAACATTGTTCTTCACAATTTTCTCTCATTACAAACGTATTCAAACGCACATCCTAATTAATTGGCAGTGGGATAGTAATCCTATTTCTGGGATAACAGAACGTTGGAGTAGTTAGCACAGATGTACACTATTGCCAAGGGAGCGCTCCACTCTCAATTAGGCCTCTCCTCCAGAATCACTAATGAAATGCTGCCTGTTGCCATTTTACATCCATATGTTAATGTTGTGGCAATTAGTACATGTATCACCTATGGACCACATATTGTAAAGTAGTTTTCAAACCATTTTAAAACAATTTTATCAACATTGCCTGCCTATGCACTAGTATTGTGTATACAGTGAGTCAGACAGTATTATATTTTATGCTTAGCCATATCTATCCATCAACAACCACTTTGTTGTTGACATGAGTTGTTGATGTCACTGTAGGCATTTGTGCTGTGGCTAGAAGTTCTCTGTTGTGGGATGACAGGTTACCATTACAATTCTATGCACACTGACATGACCCAAGTAACATTGTACAGTCGTGGTCAACATTTTTGAGAACGACACAAGTATTGGTCTTCACAAAGTTCGCTGCTTCAGTGTTATGATATATTTTTGTCAGATGTTACTATGGTATACTGAAGTATAATTACAAGCATTCCATAAGTGTCAAAGGCTTTTATTGACAATTACATTAAGTTTATGCAAAGAGTCAATATTCGTAGTGTTGACCCTTCTTTTTCAAGACCTCTGCAATCCGCCCAGGCATGCTGTCAATTAACTTCTGGGCCACATCCTGACTGATGGCAGCCCATTCTTGCATAATCAATGCTTGGAGTCTGTCAGAATTTGTGGGTTTTTGTTTGTCCACCCGCCTCTTGAGGATCGACCACAATTCTCAATGGGATTAAGGTCTGGGGAGTTTCCTGGCCATGGAAATGCCTTATGGCAAGCTCCTCCATCATGCTGGAAAAGGCATTTTTCGTCACCAAACTGTTCTTGGATGGTTGGGAGAAGTTGTTCTCGGAGGATGTGTTGGTACCATTCTTTATTCATGGCTGTGTTCTTAGGCAAAATGTGAGTGAGCCCACACATGAATGGTCTCAGGATGCTTTACTGTTGGCATGACACAGGACTCATGGTAGTGTTCACCTTGTCTTGTCCGGACAAGGTGTTTTCCGGATGCCCCAAAACAATCGGAAAGGGGATTCATCAGAGGAAATGACTTTACCCCGGTCCTCAGCAGTCCAATCCCTGTACCTTTTGCAGAATATCAGTCTGTCCCTGATGTTATTCCTGGAGAGAAGTGGCTTCTTTGCTGCCCTTCTTGACACCAGGCCATCCTCCAAAAGTCTTCACCTCACTGTGCGTGTAGATGCACTCACACCTGTCAGCTGCCATTCCGGAGCAAGCTCTGCACTGGTGGTGCCCCGATCCCACAGCTGAATCAACTTTAGGAGACGGTCCTGGCACTTGCTGGACTTTCTTGGGCGCCCTGACACCTTCTTCACAACAATTGAACCTCTCTCCTTGAAGTTCTTGATGATCCAATAAATGGTTGATTTAGGTGCAATCTAGCAGCAATATCCTTGCCTGTGAAGCCCTTTTTGTGCAAAGCAATGATGACAGCACCTGTTTCCTTGCAGGTAACCATGGTTAACAGAGGAAGAACAATGATTTCAAGCACCACCCTCCTTTTAAAGCTTCCAGTCTGTTATTCTAACTCAATCAGCATGACAGAGTGATCTCCAGCCTTGTCCTCGTCAACACTCTCACCTGTGTTAATGAGAGAATCACTGACATGATGGCAGCTGGTCCTTTTGTGGCAGGGCTGAAATGCTGTGGAAATGCTTTTTTGGGTTTAAGTTCATTTTCCTGGCAAAGAGGGACTTTGCAATTAATTGCAATTAATCTGATCACTCTTCATGACATTCTGGAGTATATGCAAATTGCCATCATCAAAACTGAGGCAGCAGACTTTGAGAAAATTAGTATTTGTGTCATTCTCAAAACTTCTGACCACGACTGTACTATGAATGTCTTCACTATGCAATCTCTTGTGTGTGTCTTATTAATGTTGTTTGAAATTACTGACGGAAGTGTAAATGGTCAAAATCATTGTGGAAACTGTGCGAGAGAACATGCCCCCTAAGCACAGATCTAAACTGAACAAAAATATAAACGCAACATGCAAACATTTCAAATATTTTTATGATTTACAGTTCATATAAGGAAATCAGTCAATTGAAATAAATAAATTAGGTTCTGATCTATTCACATGACTGGGAATACAGATTTGCATCTGCTGGTCACATATACCTTTATAAAAAGGTAGGGGCGTGGATCAGAAAACCAGTTAGTATCTGGTGTGACCACTATTTGCCTCATGCAGCGCGACACATCTCCTTCACATAGAGTTGATCATGCTGTTGATTGTGGAATGTTGTCCCACGTGAAGTGCAAAGTTGCTGGACATTGGCGGGAACTGGAACACGCTGTCGTACACGTTGATCCAGAGCATCTCAAACATGCTCAATGGGTGACATGTCTGGTGAGTATGCAGGCCATGGAAGAACTGGGATATTTTCAGCTTCCAGAAATTGTGTACAGATCCTTGCGACATGGGGCCGTGTATTATCATGCTGAAACATGAGGTGATGGGGCGGATGAATGGCACGACAATGGGCCTCAGGATCTCGTCAAAGTATCTCTGTGCATTCAAATAGCCATCAATAAAATGCTTTACTGTTCGTTGTCCGTAGCTTATGCCTGCCCATACCATAAACCCACCGCCAGCATGGGGCACTCTGTTCACAACGTTGACATCAGTAAACCGCTTGCCCACACGACGCCATACACACTGTCTGCCATCAGCCCGGTACAGTTGAAACTACACTTCTCCAGCGTACCAGTGGTGAGCATTTTCCCACTGAAGTCGATTATGACGCCGAACTGCAGCCAGGTCAAGACCCCGGTGAGCTTCCCTGAGACTGTTTCTGACAGTATGTGCAGAAATTATTTGGTTGTGCAAATCCACAGTTTAATCTGCTGTCCGGGTGGCTGGTCTCAAACAATCCTGCAGGTGAAGAAGCCGGATGTGGAGGTCCTTGTCTGGCGTGGTTACACATGGTCTGCGGTTGTGAGGCTGGTTGGACGTACTGCCATATTCTCTAAAACAACGTTGGAGGTGTCTTATGGTAGAGAAATGAACATTCAATTCTCTGTCAACATCTCTGGTGACATTCCTGCAGTCAGCATGCCAATTGCACGCTCCCTCAAAACTTGAGACATCTGGGGCATTGTGTTGTGTGACAAAACTGCACATTTTAGAGTGGCCTATTATTGTCCCCAGCACAAGGTGCACCTGTGTAATGATCATGCTGTTTAATTAGCTTCTTGATATGCCACACCTGTCAGGTGGATGGATTATTTGGCAAAGGAGAAATGCTCACTAACAGGGATGTAAACAAATTTATGCACAACATTTTAGAGAAATAAGCTTTTTGTGCGTATGGAACATTTCTGGGATATTTTATTTCAGCTCATGAAACATGGAACCAACACTTTACATGTTGTGTTTATATTTTTGTTCAGAATATAAATTAAACCTACCCATCATAAAACAGAACCTTAACCATTACAAGAAAGAAAAATGGACCTCCAATCAGGTTTTAGGAGGCGACCTTCACCCCAACATACAGAGCTTGTATAGGTAAACTGACCTTAGAAAATAAATCTCTGCCCACACATATGTATTTTTAAAGGTGAACTGACCTGACATCCCCAGGGTCCTCTGTCACTAGCACATCAGTCTTGCAACTGGCGATGGGGTTGATTGACAGCTCCACCGGTGGCACCACAAAGCTCTTACTGACTGGCAGCCACAGACCCTGGCCTAGGCTGTAGGATGACCTGCATTGGCACAGAGACAAGAAGATACTTAAGTGTCAAAAATGGCAAGCACGTGATCACCCTCCATATTAAACAGTCAGCTAAATATAAATCAGTCAGCATTATAACAGCTGGTAAGGGATTGTCCTTTTTTTTCCTTTTGACAGGGTCATTTCTGTCTGTTTTTATTTGTTATCAATGCCATCTGTTTCAAACACAATGGGCTGAAGGTGGTACCAAAATGCATATCATTAAATTATGTTAAGCATTCAACTAAAAAGCTAGTACTTACTGTACATGAGGAAAGTTGAGATAAGATCCATGCTACTGTGCATAATGTTTAGACTTTGGGACAGGGGGCTTTTCCTGACCACATGACCTGACCGATGCTGTGTGAGGTCCATCAGTGTTATCAGTCATTCAACAGTGTGTGATAAGGTGGTGTTGAAGGAGTCAGGCGCAGGAGGGTAAATCACAGAAACAGGCTTTATTCCAAAAAATACAGGTTTACGCAGAAATGCGTCAAACACACTCCAGGGCACAAAACAGGTGCACTGGAAAATACAAGGCACACGGGAAAAATAATCCCGTCGATACCAAATACAAGAGCTCCACCGAGCTACTAACCTCCACAACAAACAATCACCCACAAAGACAAGGGGGCAGAGGGAACACTTATACATGGACTAATTAGGGGAATAGAACCAGGTATGTGTGATTGACAAGACAATTGATATGATGATTGGGGCGGCAGTGGTTAGTACTCCGGTGACGACGAACGCCGAAGCCTGCCCGAACAAGGAGGGGAGGCAGCCTCGGCGGAAGTCGTGACACAGTGCTACAGCAGTAGTGTTAATATTAGCAGTTCTACCCTGGCAATTAACATCATGCCATATTACACAATTATCATTAAACATTTTAAACATTTTACATCCAGTTCATGACCATTACTCCCTGTGTATGAACTCTTATTGAGAATCATCATTAAGTGTGCAGTGTGATTGCTGATCAAGCAATAAATGTTCTCTAAAAGAGTTTGGTCATTAGCTAGAGCTGCAAATGTTTTATCGACTAATGGAGTAGGAATATGAAGAGAGAATGTATTCTCGTGGGCTGGATCAAAACTGTATTTCCATGAATTATCAGTGAATAAGAAACAGGCATAAATAATGTAGAAACGGAAGTCGTGAATACACAGATTCTCTTTCAGTCTTCGATAATGACACACAAAATATGCATTTGATTTGAATACAATTCTCTGAGTTCTTACTCAATATTATATTAAAATGTATATCAAATGTATATTGTGTGTGTCATTATTGAACACAAAGAGATCTATTATGATTCATAATAACATCTACTGCTAATTATTAACTCAACGAGGCTGGCTGTCATGGCCTTGTGACTGACGTTAAGTCGTTGCCAACACTGCGTTATGTAATGGAGACTTCAGCCAATATCTCATTTTATAAGCTCTTTGTCAGTAGTCATTTAAAGAGGTGCTCAGAGCAGTGGGCAGAGTGCCACCAGCCCTGACCTGGGATATAGACAGAAACACAATGAATCAGGCCTGATCAATGGCCACATCCACTCATAAATAAGACACTGACAGCCAGTCTCCCGCTCGCTCCGTCCTCTCACTCTGGAGCCCATTGATCGGCCCCTGCTCTTCTCCCCATCCATCACACACACCAGGAGGCTTTATCAAAGGTGTGTGGGGGGGGGGGGGGGTACAAGTGTGTGTGTGTGTGTGTGTGTGTGTGTGTGGGGGGGGGGGGGGTACAAGTGTGTGTGTGTGTGTGTGTGTGTGTGTGTGTGTGTGTGTGTGTGTGTGTGTGTGTGTGTGTGTGTGTGTGTGTGTGTGTGTGTGTGTGTGTGTGTGTGTGTGTGCGCATGCATATGCATGTGTGTGAATACAGGAGAGAATCAGAGAGTGATGACAGGTCAGTTAAGTAAAATAAATATGAGATATTCTCAGGGTTTTTTCCCTATAAACTTCCACACCAGGCATTTGATGATGCCAGGGAAAACAGCTTATTCATGAAAAGCTGAGAAAAGATCTGTAGTGATTCTGACAAGAGTGACAGAAAGGCAATATTTGAAATATAATTATATCTCTCAACTGCAAGGTAGAGGCTCCGAGCGACAAATTCATCATAGGATTTAAGATTATTCTGCGGTGCCATAAAAACCTACATTCCCACTTCATATTATTTACTGTTTCACTCTTACATCACCTAGTCTATTCTTATTTTGGGGGGTTAAAATATATTCTCTGACACCTCTTGCTTGAAGTCATCATGACCTTCCCAATTAGTACACATCCCAGAAAGGGCATCTTTTGAAGAAATCCACTAATTTGCCAAAGGCATGGGTTAGAAGCCCTTGAAAGTTTCTATTGACTGGCACAGCCACATCCAACTGTATGGAGAATTTGTGCTAGCACTCCTCAGGAAAATGTCTCAGAGAATGTCCCTGTCAAGAAAGGCCCTGTGACAAAGACTGGCACTAAGAGTACTTAAAAGCCATGTACGTGACATCCCCTCTGGCTATTTCTTCACAGGGCCGCATTCTCTCTCTCTGTGTGTGTGTGTGTGTGTGTGCATGCATTATTGTGTACTATTGGTCACACACTATTGTGTGTGTACTACTGTGTTCAGAGCAGAAGCAGAGGCAGATGTATGGAGGTGACAATCACACAGTCCCAGATCCTATAGTGTGTGGTAGTGGTTGGTAGTGTACACAACGTCCCAGGTTCCCAGACTTCAGAATAGTTGATCTGAAATACATTATTTTGGCAGGCCACCAGCTATGCACTCAGGCGAGGGCACTTGGATTAACATGTCTCCTCACCTGAATATCTTTTCTGGCGCTTGCTCCCCTGTGACGAGGTCATAACCCTTCTCCAGGTTAGTGTAGGGCCAGGGACTGGGGAGAGAGCAGGGAGGGAGAGGACCATAGTATGTATACACCATTCACTGAACAATGCACATTTATAAACACACTCTTCTTATACAGTGCCTTCGGAAAGTATTCAGGCCCCTTGACTTTTTCCACATTTTGTTACGTTACATTTTTGTTATTCTAAAATTGATTAAATTGTTGTTGTTTTTCCCTCATCAATCTACACACAATACCCTATAATGACAAAGCAAAAATAGGTTTTTAGAAATGTTTGCTAATTTATTACAAATAAAAAAACTGAAATATTACATTTACATAAGTATTCAGACCCTTTACTCAGTACTTTGTTGAAGCACCTTTGGCAGCGATTACAGCATCGAGTCTTCTTGGGTATTACGCTACAAGCTTGGCACACCTGTATTTGGGGAGTTTCTCCCATTCTTCTCTGCAGATCCTCTCAAGCTCTGTCAGGTTGGATGGGGAGCGTTGCTGCACAGCTATTTTTCAGGTCTCTCCAGAGATGTTTGATTGGGTTCAAGTCCAGGCTCTGGCTGGGCCACTCAAGGACATTCAGAGACTTGTCACAAAGCCACTCCTGCGTTGCCTTGGTTGTGTGCTTAGTGTCGTTGTTCTGTTGGAAGGTGAACCTTCACCCCCAGTCTGAGGTCCTGAGCGCTCTGGAGCAGGTTTTCATCAAGGATCACTCTGTACTTTGAGCGTTCTGGAGCAGGTTTTAATCAAGGATCTCTCTGTACTTTGCTCCGTTCATCTTTGCTTCAATCCTGACTAGTCTTCCAGTCCCTGCCGCTGAAAATCATCCCCACAGCATGATGCTGCCACCACCATGCTACACCGTAGGGATGGTGCCACGTTTCCTCCAGACGTGGCGCTTGGCATTCAGGCCAAAGAGTTCAATCTTGGTTTCATTAGACCAGAGAATCTTGTTTCTCATGCTCTGAGAGTCTTTAGGTGCCTTTTGGCAAACATCAAGTGGGCTGTCATGTGCCATTTACTGAGGAGTGGCTTTCGTCTGGCCACTCTACCATAAAGGCCTGATTGGTGGAGTGCTGCAGAGATGGTTGTTCTTCTGGAAGTTTCTCCCATCTCCACAGAGGAACTCTAGAGCTCCGTCAGAGTGACCATCGGGTTCTTGGTCACCTCCCTGACCAAGGCTCTTCTCCCCCGATTGCTCAGTTTGGCCGGGCGGCCAGCTCTAGATAGAGCCTTGGTGGTTCCAAACTTCTTCCATTTAAGAATCGATGGAGGCCACTGTGTTCTTGGGGACCTTCAATGCTGCATACATTTTTTGTTACCCTTCCCCAGATCTGTGCTTCGACACAATCCTGTCTCGGAGCTCTACGGACAATTCCATTGACCTCATGGCTTGGTTTTTGCTCTGACATGCACTGTCAAATGTGGGACCTTATATAGACAGGTGTGTGCCTTTCCAAATCATGTCCAATCAATTGAATTTACCAAAGGTGGACTCCAATCAAGTTGTAGAAACATCTCAAGGATGATCAATGGAAACAGGATGCACCTGAGCTCAATTTCGAAGGTCTGACTAATTATGTAATTTTTTATAAATTTGCTAAAATTTTGCTTTGTCATTATGGGGTATTGTGTGTAGATCGCTGAGGAATTTATTTTATTTAATTAATTTTAGAATAAGGCTGTAACGTAACAAAATGTGGAAAAAGTCAAGGGGTGTGAATACTTTCCGAAGGCAAAATAAGCTAAATTGCAGAGGCAAAGTCAGAGGCAGGAAAATGTTAATACACCATCATACAAAATGAATACATTAATAAATAAGTGAGTTGATATACAGTACAGGTATCTTCACAGTACAACATAGTTATGCAAGGTCATGTTATACAATTAGCTCTGGCTTTAAATACCAAAGATGATCCTCCTTTTCTCCTGAATTGGCGAAATGGGATTGGATCTGTGATTGGTGGGTAGGGACTGAGTTCATCATGATGATGGGGGATTTGCATAGCTAGAGAAGGCTGCCATTTTATTGGCCCAGCTGTTGGGCCAGCCAAGTTAATTCGCATGCAGAGTCAGTCAGGAAGAGGGCTTACACTTGACTGGGCACAAGGCGAGGTGATGAATGTCTCATCTCCCTCTCCCTCTCTCTTCCTCTCTCTCCCTCCCTCTCCCTCTCCCTCTCTATCTTTCTCCCTATACTCCCTATCTTACCCTCTCCCTCTACCTCTCCATTTCCCTTTTGCTCTCTCCCTCCCTCCCCCTCTCACTCTGCCTCTCTTCTCCTCTTGTCTCGTCAGTGAGGTGACAGTGAGTGTGCAGGGCAGAGTTGGCAGGACTCACCCTTCGTTGCGTCCCCAGTCACTGCGAACACAGAGGTGTTTATGCACCGGGTCAGTGGAATAGCCCTCATGACAACTGCATTCACCTGCAGGAAGGGGGGAGAGAGAGAGAGACAAAGTGACAGATATATTAATTCATCCCGCAGCCAAATAAATTACCCCGTGTGTCTTCCAGGGCCTCCCAGCTCATCCATCAGCAGGCAGAGGGCCTGTCCAATAATCAGTTGGCATCAGACTTAGTTTGGCAGCTAATGCTCAACACCAACCTCCCGCCTCTTCTCTAACAATAGCTAGCATCAACTCAATCTCCACCTCAGACATGCTGGAACTCTAAACTGAAGTGAATACGCCCCCCTATAACTTCAAGACTCACCCCCTTCTCTACCCCTGGCATGTTCTGATCCACCCATGGTGTCTTATAAACTTCACATTCTCTTCATTCTAGACACTGTCTGACCATTAACTTTTAACCCCTAACCCTCTGGGTTAAAAAACCACTGTAATCACAGACCTCTTCACTCGTGACTCTGCTAAATTACAGTACTCTCTCCATCCCCCATCAACAACAACTACTCAAACCCATGCTGTAACAAGCTCTAATCTCTAACAACACTCATTAACCAGAACCCTGTCCACATCTACCCCACTTATCTAGTTCCTCTCTTCATCTCTACTTCACTGACTCCATCTTTAACAACACTCCTCTACAACAAACCTTCATGTTCTCTCCCTGACTCCACCTCTACCACCACCCATTCCCAAACCCTCTCTCACCTGGCATCTTACTACATGTACTTCACATCCAGTCCTCTCTTAATGACGCCCATCAGAGGTATTCTCAGGGGAAAAATCACGTATTTACCTCTACAATGCACCACACATCCACGGAGGCCATCATGTCTGCTCATTCTATTTTGTGCGCAACTCCTAGGAAATTGTAGATATATCGGTAGGAAGTACCATCACAACAATATAACATATTACTGCGGTACATCTTGATTTGATGTATACTTCAAATGGCCAGACTTCTATTTCCTGACACATCCCTCTACTATCGACTAAACCCCCATTATGATTTCACTTTGGACCCACGACATGTTCAATGGCAGAAAGCAAACACTAAATTCATAGCTTTTATGGTAGTCCACTGTATGACAAAAGCATTGCCATAGTGGCAACATAGCCTTTGTCAACATAGATAGATGCCAAGGATAAGGGGGTGGTGCTCTGAAAGGTAGTTCCATAGCATAAAATAAACAGTGCAATGACACTAAGCTAAAGAGAGCAAAGATGTAAATCAAAGTATGAATCTACACATACTGTATCTACAAAACAACTAAAAAACTAAGAATTAACGCAAAGTCAAAAGAAATTGAGAAGAGTAAAATGCGACTTTTGATATTCATTGTATCCTCTTCCCTCCCCCCCTGCTCAGATGAAAGCATCCAAGGCAGGGGGGGAAATGGTACAGTATGGCACATGATGCATCTTTCATTTCACATGTTTTTCATCCATACAGAATCATAGCAGGGGGAAAGTGCCAGGGTTTTTCTACCCAGGCCTCAGGGAGCTGATTTATGATCTCTCAGAAGATTTGAGGCAGCAGATTCATAAAACACAAAAACAAATCTAAAAAGCAAACACTGAATAAGGGGAAAGTTCCCTCTGTGTCTTCTGCCATGCAGGCATTATCACTGCTCTGTTGTTTACCTCTCATTCTGAGTCTACTCCAGAACATTGTGTTTCTGAACACTCCTCCATTGTTACATAAATAAGTAATTTTCTATGGGCCTATGGGACATTTTGAGTGAGGAACTAATACAGGCATTATCGCTGCTCTGTGGTTTAGGATACCTCTCATCCACCACAGCCCTAGTCTACCGCTGAACGTTTTGTTCCTGAACGTTGCTCTGTTGTTACAGAACTACAGTGTTATGCTATGGACCTATGTAACAATTTGAAATGGGGGAGTGGGTAACAAATGTCTGTTCAAATCAAATCAAATCAAATTTTATTGGTCACATGCGCCGAATACAACAGGTGCAGACATTACAGTGAAATGCTTACTTACAGCCCTTAACCAACAGTGCATTTATTTTAGACAAAAAAAGTAAGAATAAAACAACAACAACAAAAAAGTGTTGAGAAAAAAAAAAAAGAGCAGAAGTAAAATAAAGTGACAGTAGGGAGGCTATATATACAGGGGGGTACCGTTGCAGAGTCAATGTGCGGGGGCACCGGCTAGTTGAGGTAGTTGAGGTAATATGTATGTTGTCAAACGACCTCTGCCAGTTCTTACTCAGTATCTATATAATAATAATTTGGTGGGTGCTTATATCTGTCCTATTTCACACATGTACAAGTGTGTATTAATTGAATTGGAAATGTGTGTTTTTTGCATATTTCAAATTTCAAAATGCCACTTTACCCACGTGTGTTCTGGCTCTGGCCCAACCCATCGGTTTCTTGGACCAATGAGACGGTATAGAATGGATTTCCATTCTAGAAATTGTCAGGAGGTACTCAGATCCACTCATTGCGGAGAAGAAACTAACGTCCGTGGGCATGGCGTAGCGTTTGGCTGTAGCAAGGAGTTTCGGTAGCCAGGCAATGATTTCATATGGTCAAACTGCAATTATGGAGCTTTGTGCATGGTTGTGCATTGCTCCATTTAAAATCAAATCAAATCACAT